ATCAAATTTAAAATATAAGATGCTCACAGCGAGTCTGGACCGAGTTATTCAAATTTTAAAGTATTTACAATTTAGGTACAGTGAACCTTCTTGATGCAAGCATCTCACAATAATGAACACTTCATTATACCGAACAGTCTATTGTTCGTCCAAGCAGAGTGTGCTAGAAATGAGTCTCTTTAATACGAGCGCCTCCTTATGCAACAATACTTCGTGTAAGATCTCCTAGTTTTTGTGCTAACAACTGACTATCGTGAATTATGTCAATACATTGTGATTTATTTCTGATTAAAAAAGTTGCATTAATCAATTGTAGGAAAGACAGAAAAGATCACTTCGTACAGCCGAAAATTGATTGCAACTGAATACTCGTAGCTTGCAAAAAAGAAATTAAAAGCCTTCCAATAATGAATACCTCTATAAAGTGAGCATTTTTGGCCGGCTCCGATAGTATCTACATTAGAGAGGTTTTACTTTATATAAGAACAACAGAACTTTCCAAATTAATTTTTTTGCATGATTAACTATTTCTTCAAGTAGTAAGTTTCTAGAGTTTTAATAACATATATCTATCAATCATATGAATGATGCACAAGTTTCGATGTTTTCTGAAAGTTTAGTAGTATGTCAATGAGAAAAGATAAGCTTCTGTTCCTCATCACAAAGACATTTTCGATACTTTAGTCTTATTTGAAGTGAAAGTAATAAAAAGTACAACACTTATAGAATAGATAGATAAACGCTTTTAAAATCGTACAAACTGATTACTTGAAAAAATAGTTAATTGTACAAAAAAATGAATTTGGAAAGTTCTATTATTCGTGGTTACGTAAATTATCAATACCTTAAAATTTGAATAACCCGGTTCAGGTTTGCTATCAATATCTCATATTTAAAATTTGTTAGTTTTGCATTCGAAGTAATAATTTGAGTCGAACATGGTTATTCTTATTAATTGATATGACAAATAATTTCATTGTAAGCAAAAAAAGAAAATTCCGCTAAGAAATAGAAATGTGAAGTATATTATCAGCGTGAGACCTAAATTTTGTGTTCTTTTGGCTGACTATTAAAATCTTTCTGTTCACTGACAATCATTAGGTAAAGTAAACATTTTCGAGGTCTTTGTTAGTCCTCATTGAGTATCTTTTAATGTGTTCGTGAATGTGAAAGTAAAGAGTCTTACCGGCTTATCTGTTGGAACCATCATCAATGTTAGTGTTGTAGTAAAAAAAATAACTTATATCATTTTACTATTATCACGAATGCATCTGTTTGCGCAGTTTGTAAGATGATCATAATATTCTTTCTCTCAATCGTTCTTTCGTTCTCTACGTAGAGAAATCCAACACCACATTCAAAGCGCCGTATCTTTATTCTCATCGCGCATCGCACTTGATGGTATCATAATGATGCGAAACGCAGAGAAAGATTCATCGCAAACGAACAAGGTCAATTGTAAAGAAAATTCGCTATCGAGCCATGAAAAATCTCAAGTGTCATTGTCAGCACATCCAATATAAATTTAACGATTTCGCGAAAGCAGATGTTATCTATTTAGCCACGAAAATCGCTGTTATAGGACAATCAGCGTCAAAGAACGCGCGAGACTTCATTAAAATGTTTTTTTTTGAATGTTTTTTTTTCGTTAAGTCCTTAAATTTACATGAATTTTTATGTGGACAGTGAATAAAGAGTCGATCTGCATTCGTGCTCAATTTTAAAAATATTCGACTTGATTCTTTTAGGTTAGATACCATGCAAAAAGTGCTGAAGACGATATAATGAAATTCACAAGTGTGAAATGTGGATGATTTGTTCATAGCATTGCAAAGTATGCTAGGAGAAATAGCACGTATTCTCTGCATTTTACTCAATTAAGGATGCAGTGATTCGGTGGCTTCTTTGCTTGAGTGGATATTTTTCTTGTTTCAATAAGTCCTCTCTCTCTCTCATTCTTCCGTAAGCAGCTCTGCCAACAGTATAAAAAAAACAACATCAATGAGCAGTAAGTCTTGTTGTTTGGTAAGAATAAAGTGTATGTGAATTTTGGATGGTCGAATTTCTTTCTATCGCTGGGAGAACATGTTTGGATGAAAGCTTGCTGTCTTCCATATAATAGCGATTTGCAAATAATAACATCATTTTTTCATGAGCCATTAGAAGTGGATTGAAATGGTTTTGGCTTTCTTTTCTCTTCACGGACTCTTTACAATTGCATTAAATCGACATTATTTATTTAAAAAAAGTCACCAAAAGAAATAGGTAAAATGATTGATTTGGAGATTTTCATCTAATATTTGACTGTGCAGTGGTTGATCGAATCTTGATCTTAGCTGATTCGATATTCTTTGGCATCATTGCTTTTCTTGTATTCTATTGTACATTGATGTTCAGATGAGATTCATCTCAAGAAAGAAACGCTATCCAATTACCGATCAAATCGAGTTTCGTTCACTGACTTTTCTAATCACCCTAGTCGACATCAATAATAACTTTTTTTCTCTGAGCAGATCTACAATCATTTCAAACTGTCAACCGATCGTTCACGTCAAAATCGATTTATTCGCAGTCAAAAAGGGAGACACGATTGTGTCCTAGATTAATATTTCAAATTTACGCATTATCGCAAAAATAACCGAAACGGAACTAATTCTAAATGAACAGTGTACTCTAGTTTCTTTGTAATAGAACACTCCCATAATCGAGGAGAATTCAAAGGTAGATTCTGTACTACAGAGAATAGAATAGTTATTTTTACGCTCAACAGTGAAAGCTCCAAATGGGTTCCAATCTATGTGACCTCTTTGCCTTGCAGATAATCAATTAGCATATCAATATAAATCTAAATTATTAGTATTGCCGAAGAAAAGTGATCACACAAGCTGAAGTATTACTTGTAACCAAAGTATCAGCTTGCTTCTCTTTATTATACAGCGTACTTCAACTGCTTCGAATCAATCTGTATTCTTTCTCCACTGTGAACTTATTGCCATCTTATTATGTTCCATTTTCCAGCTCCTTCACACAGAACTCATCACACGATTCTTGATCGTATTAAAGGATCGCTTGTTGATCTAGTAGCAGGCGATGTGCAGGAGACCAGTACTGAACATATCGACAGTCTAACTCACAGCAAAAAATCTGGAAGAAAATCCAATCTGCAAACGGATCAATGGACCAATAATACATCGATGGCGTAAATATGGATACTTGTCATCGACAGGATACTGTCTCGACATTGACAATGTTGTGCGTGGTTCGCTCGAAGAATATTGTCGTTGTCAGACTGATTTGAATAAATTTTATGGTTATCTTACGGAGGATAAGCTCGACCTATGCCACTCCTCTATTATCGAACACCGGCAGCCGCTGTTCAACTTTTAGGGTTATCGACATGTCTTACACACGGAGATGACAGCATACTCGATGCCGGTAGACATTTTGGAGTACTCATTAGGCTGCTGTTCACAGCGAATCCAACGAAGTATTACTTAGTCATCGAGATTTGTTTGATTAGAAAGTTCTCCACCTAAATGTGCGTACTGTAGTGCTAGGATCGTATGAACAGCACAGTGACTCTAAAAATGGCGGGTGTGGATGTGGGGTTTTTTCATTTTTGTTTCTCTCAAAGCAATTTATTACATTGTTTTTTTTCGATTTTATTTAATTTAATTTTTCTAATTTTGAGAACTCAAGCAGGTGAAATTTCGGAATCTGACCGGACCTCGGTTGGTCGGATCTCTAACAGATCATTTCAAGATAGTCCTCTCTCAATTTACGATTGAAATCGGCATGTTCCCGACTAGTAAATAGTCGAGAAATAATCCAGAAAAAATACGTATGAAAAAAATATTAATTTCTAATGTTTTGTCGAGTTGTTTATATGAAACCGTATGTGCAAAAGAAAGCGGTGAATGAATAGTTCCTAGACAGAACGCAACAAATCTAGGATACCCTGTAGAGCTTTCCTCAGTAAAATAACAGGTGTGGATACCCATACAGGTATTTGTTCAGTAAACATACTCATCAGTATAATTACTGAGATTTTTCGGAGTACCCATATCGAGTGCCTTGCTGAGACTTTCTCAGTACATTCACTTGGGATACAATATCAGTCAAACTCACTGCCAACATCATCTACAAATAATGCTAGCAGTACATAAAAAATGAAGTTTTGCAGTTGTTTGCCAGTTTATCAACAGAATCTGACGTTTTTTTTTTATTTAGAAACATATGATTCTTTGAGATATTCATAGATAGAATTCAAATAGCTCCGATGGACGTCTTATTTGTTGTATTAGAAATTTTGATGCATCAATACTTATGATATAACAACTTTGAGCAGTATTCACATTTTAATATAATTTTCAAATTCGAGCGAGACAACCGAGTTGATTGAATCGAAAAATTTCTACTTTGTTGACGAACATGATAGTATACACTTAGCTATCGACTTGTTCATATAAGCTAGTGCTAAGAGAATTTGTGGCTAACCAGAGTTAGTGATACAATGGATTCCAATAGAAAAGAGCTTCTTATTAAAAAGTTGTGAAAATTCGTCGCATTTCCACGTTAATTTAGAGTTTTGAGATACAATCAAGAAGATGCACAGAAGGAATATACAGTTTCCAGTGTGTGCTTAGAAGAAGTTCAACAATCATATCGATGGTTACAATACCAAATAGACATATCAAACAGAATACAAGATGTTAGCATGTTCATGGATCGCATTTCTGTCTCATTTAAGAACAACGCGGCACTTGTGTGATCTCATGAAATGAGAACATAGGATACCTACAATGCTTTATTGCTTGTCTTAACTAAAAACGAGTATCTCGTATTTCATATTGATATTATGTTTTCTTCTATCCACGAGTTGTACTTGTGAATTATGATGTTTGCACAAGATAAGAAAGCAAAAGGAACGACATCTTCGAAAAACGAAACGCACATTTTTGTGACTTCACTTCTACAACGTTAATTTTCGCACAAATATCATGAAAGTCAATGGTGTAATATTTCTTTGTCTGTTAGCATTCGTTCCTCAATCGTTTGGTTTCAATGCATTGATAATTACTAATGGTGTAGCTGGTCATGTTATTCCCATGTTTGAATTGGCAAAAGGAATGCACGATCATAATATTACATTTCTTACCGATCGATTGGCTGAAACTTATATTGATTTTAAAACATATCCCAATCTATCTTCATTTCGTCTGATTTATACAAATGATTCAATTGAGGCATTAGTTGATCAAAAGAAAATGGCAAGAGAAATGTTTGAATATTTTTTTAATCATTCTCTCTTGGATAGTCTAATTCATTTTATGCCAAGAATGATTCAAAGTATGAATTTACTATTGAACAAGATTGTACATACGTTAATGATGGAACGATTTGATGTGATCATTGCAAATCGATTCATTTTTGGTGTAAATGCATTATGTAAGGAAGCAAATATCAGTTGTGTAACACTTACTCCAACAGTAATGTCGAGCATGACTAATATTAATCAGCCTAACAGTCACTCATATCTAACATCAAAGCAAATGTCAGAATTAAAATATCGCATCTATAATGTTGCTTTTGCTGTGCGTTTGTTATTATCTATTGGAAAAAAAATAATTCCAGTCATTAACCTATTGTCAAAATCATTTCCACAAGTACCTGGACCATTTTTCAACACTTTTACATTCAAAAATATTTTTTTGACAAAATCAAAATGTCTGAATATAATCAATGTTCCACCAACACTCTATCCACCCTCCGATTCGTCTCCGTATACAAGATATATGGGCGCATTTGTAGATGAATCATCCATTAGTGACATTGATAATGAACTTACAAGATGGATTAAATAAAAGTCGAATAATTCTATTATTTATGTAGCTTTTGGTAGTAGTGCTTTAATAAAATTTGATCGAATGAAAAGTTTGATCTATGGTCTAGGTGAATTTCTATTTCAAACAACTACTGCTTCTGTTTTATTAGCATTTCGTAATTTTAATTATGATTCTTATCGTACAGTACTTGATGAAATGGTAAATGTTGAATATAAACGTATTTTCTTAGATGAACAACGGGTTAAAGTTGAAAATCAATTTCTTGATCAAAAATGGATATTACGACAACATAGAGTTAGTCTATTTATTAGTCATTGTGGTATGGGCTCAGTTACAGAAGGATTGTACTTTCAAAAACTAATATTATGTTTGCCTTTATGCAACGATCAATTTCCAAATGCCTTCATGATTGATCAATTGGGAGATGGACAATCATTGTTTGTTCCACCATCTCCATGGAAATTATTACTAAGACCGAATAGTTTTCATTATTATACTTTTACAGCGAGTAGTGTCACAATCAAGTTATTAACAATGTGGAGAAATAGTACTTATGAGAAAGTCGCTCGAATCATGTCACTTGAAATAAAACATGCAGGTGGTGTAAAACGAGCGGTGGAAGAAATTGAATTTTTCGTTAGGTCCAATGGTGATTTAGATCGATATGTACCATTTCCAAGTACATTACCGTTCTATCAACGATTTCTGTTGGATATAATCTTTATTTATATGATTTTACCTATGACAATCATGTTTTGCGTATTTATGAAATGTTGCAAACGACCTCGAAAAGAAAAAAAGGATTGATTTATGACATTTTTAACAATCAGATACGTGCGCATTCTATTATATTATTGTCTACGAAAAAGCAAAAATGTTTTGATCGATTTTTTTCCTCAAGTACAAACCATACTAATGATCCATTTGTAAGACGCAAAAAATATTCCTTTAGAAAACATTTCACAGTCAACGAATGATAACTAAATAGTTAAGAGAAAACCACGAGCAATTGTTTTTTTTTAACAGAAGTCCTCATTATGCAAACATGATTACTAAGTAAAATGATTACAACGAATTTTTCTGAAAGAGAAGAATCAGCGTAGGTAAGCCTATTTCTCTTTATGCATCAATTCGTAGGGTGTGGGTGCGAGTATGACTGGATGTGCAGGTGTGTAAGTTGTGGATGTGAATCTGGATATTGTTGCAGTCTCAAGAGATCTACCCATACACCTACACCCACACCTACATCTACGGTCACATATCCACACCCACACCCTACATTTAATATCTATCAAGAGTATTCATAATTTTGATCTCACCAAATACAAGTAGAGAATCAATTTAAAGTAACTTATTTGACCCAGTTTTGTGTCTTGAATATGAATCTGAAATTAATTTTTTTGATTTGAAAGGAAATAGTATGTCTTTTGTATGATTTTTTGAGGTACAGCTAGTGAACATTAAGCAGGATATATCACAGTGTGGTCTATACTTGATGAGATCTAGTCTGGTAAAAGACTCATCATAGAATATCATGCAGCATGTGTGTAAAGTCTAAAATACTACCAGCTTTGTGCAATACATTTTTTGAATTTTGGACGGTTTTTAACCTGCAGGTTTTACTATATCTTCAAGCCCAAACAATTAAATCGTTCTTGATATAACGTCAAAATAACCATTTTGGAAGGATTCCAATAGACCAGTTATAGATGCTTCAGCGCTCGTTTTTCATAGGTAAAATCAAATGACCTAATATTTTGAATTCAGCTATACCTTGCTCTCTTACATATCAGTGCAAAGTGTACTTGTTAAGTAACAAGTATGTGTAGATTTTTATGATTATATTTATATTAGTTTGATTGATTTGTCAAAATGAAGCTTATTTGATGAGAGTAATAACTTTCTATAAAGTTTGATTAAAGGCTTTCGGAATTAATGAGTTTGAATTTACAAATGATTTATTTAATATATTATGTTCAAATTAAACGAAATTCAGAATGAGTACACGAGTAATTTGCTAATATCCTATCGTGATGAATTGTAAAATTTTTAACAAGTTTTATAATATGGAAAGAGTAAAACAGAGGGCGACTGTATCAAGAGCGAAAAAATACCGATGAAGTATAGCATGAAATAGAAAAGAATTCATTGATTGGTTATGACGACAAAAAATATGATTAGTGACTTACATCTATGGTAAACAATATAACTTCATGTGTCTAACCAGATTTCTTTTTCTATACGATATGTACATCTATTCACTTTTAGTTTTTACTTTGAAATCATGACTGCAAGCATAGTATCAAATAATATCAAACTGCGACTTCATTATTGGAATATTCGTGGACGTGTTCAAGCAGTTCGTTATATGCTTGAAGATATTGCATACGAACATAAAAATGTTGATTATAAAGAAAGTTTTGAATTAATCGATACAATGATGAATACATGGGCTAAGAGAAAAGTTGATCAAACAATATCCGGTCCATTTCGAACTTTACCGGTTCTTCATTGGAATGATACACATACTTTTAGTCAATCATTAACAATAGGTTTGTTTAACTAAACATAAAGGTATAAATTAAACATTTTCTTTCTCATTATTTATTCAAGGACAATTATTAGCAAAAAAATTTGATTTATATGGTAAATTAACATCAAATATTGATGATAAAGATTTTCTTGAAACTTATATTGATGGTGTTGTTTCATGTGCATATACAGATATTATATCAAATGTTATAACATGTATATGGAGTATGATTAATTTTGTTGATGAAACTAATCCATCGAATCGTTTTAGCAGAAAGATTCCAAATGATCTTAAAGCTTTAAATAATTTACTTGAAAAAAGTTCAACATCATTTTATTATGATCAAACAGAACCAACAATTGCTGATTATTTTGTTTTTGAAGCATTTACAATGGCACATGATTATTGCAAGAAATTATTACCAAATAAAGAAGATTGTCAAGCATTAATAAAACTTGAACATGTAATGAAAGAACGACCAGCAATAGCTAATTATTTGAGTAAAGGTTTACTATTTAAACGTTTTACTGGTTCACCAAAAGAAATTGAATATCTGACAAAACTTGCTGAAACATTAAAATAACTTTATTTCTTTTTTTTTTTGGAATGTAATTGATTTAACATAAGTCAAATAAAACTTCTATTTAGATTTCTCGAAATTTTAAAGTGATATAATAAAGCAATAGATATTTCTTATTAAAAAGAATTTTCATTCGTTTAGTTTAAAGTATCTAGTCTTTTCTTGGGTTTTTTCTCTTTTGACATATTGACATTTAGATGAGCTTTAGTATTATTATTATCATTATTGAATCAATCCAATGAAATAAAGTTTACATGAATTTATTTTTACTTTTAACATAAAAATTCTATTCAGAAAAAGAACAAAATTCAATAAAATTAAACTATGATATATTCAGGTAATATGTTGTATACTTGAAGGTATACACATGATCATATCTATTTGATCAATAACATGCTGGATCAAAATAAGCAACCTATAAAGCTGATTAGATAATATTCAATTCATTTCGAAGTTTAAGAGAGGTTCCACGAAAAAACCGAACATTTTTCTGGACATCCGTCGGGGCTACATTTTTATTAGGAAATCCAAATTTTTTAGGTTTGAGACCCTACCTAAAAAATTTTAGCCTATACCAACTTTTTTCGCCCACTTAATCATCATATCATTTGGTTTCCATGCCCGAGTCCGTTCAAATTTTATTTGATAGCTACTGAGATGTTATACAAAAAAAAGGAAACTATGAAATATATTTGTTGTTGAAGTTTGTGGCTATATGATCGTGGTTGTTAAAAACCATGGAAAATTTAGGTATAAAAAAAGTCGGTTTTTTCCCTAGTTTTTGCTCTCTCGTAATTTCATTTATTAAACCACGAAAAAATTTTTTAATCCTATCTTGTAGAACTTTCAAGCTGCATCTAATCGTATAAAATTCAAGGTCTAAAAAAAACTACCAACGTCCCGAAAAATGATCTACAATATCGGTCGCCAGAGTGAATAAGCTCATGGAAAATGACCTCGCGTTCTTTTCGGAGTCCTTCATTTATGAAAATTTTCATCTGGAAGAAATTAGGACTTCATCCTAGATAGAATAACACAGAGAGTTGTTTGCAAGAACGAAGAACCGCCTGTCGGGGATGTTCTTGGACATCTACAGGGCCCCACCTCTGCTCACAGAGTGTGGGAGGCGCCCCTGGACTCCCGATAGCCAAATCCGTCTGCCTTTCAGGCTAGCAACCTGTCAGGTGGACATTAAACTTCAATTGCTAACGAAAAAGACAAGGATCCGTGCATAAACGCACGCAAACCATCGTTATTCGCTCAATGGAACGTTCGTTCATGTCGACAACAACCAAAGAAACAACTTATCTCAAACCAATTGAAGAAACATCGTATACGTGTTGCCGCTCTTAGTGAAAACTCTATATACGACTCTGGCGTTACATCGTTCGGCAACTACACATGTCTATACTCCGGCCTCCCAAGCTCCGCTCCATCTCGTTCTGTTCATGGTGTCGCCATCTGTTTGGACAAGCAAGCAACTGCAGCCTGGAGACATGCTGGATCTACATGGGAAGCCGTCAGCGAACGCATCATCTATTGTCGTCTCAATGCTCATCCTGTTAACATCACAGTCATCTCTATCTATGCTCCAATCAATTCTCAGTCTGGTCAAAATTCAACAGCTACTGCATCTGACAGCTTCTATTGTGACGTACAACAAACAATTCACAAAGTCAACAGCAATGATATAGTTCTTATCATGGGAGACTTTAACGCTCGTGTGGGAAAAGAACAACATGAAACAGCCTCAAGTGTCATCGGGCCTCATGCAATTGATAAGCTCAATGAGAATAGACAACGACTCCTTGACTTCTGCTCACACAACGACTTCATCATCTCTAATACATTCTTCCAGCACAAGATCATTCATCAAGCAAGTTGGATGCATGCAGGCAATAAGCAGGGGCATATGCTCGACTACACACTTGTCAACAGGAAGTTTCGTTCGACCGTCGAAGACGTCCGTGTTCTACGCAGCTGTATCGGAACAATCGGAACTGACCACCACCTCCTTCGAACAAAACTCAAATTTCATCTCAAGAGTCGACGAAAACAAAATCTTTCTTCTCGTTCCACACGACTTGACAAGAAAAAGCTACAAGATCCGATTCGCAGACGAGCATTTCAAGCTGCCCTATCATCTGTGAGCCACTCTACTTCTTCTCAATATACATGCAATGAAAAATACAATGATTTTGTCGAAACAGTCAATGATCTCAGTCAACAACATTTTGCACAAGATTTACCTACAGTCAAGAGAAAAGAATGGATCACTAGTGAAATACTAGACATCACACAGAAGAAAGCTCAAGCATTTCAAGACTGACAAAACAATCTCAAATCGAAAAATGCACGAAAGTATTATACCAAGTATTCTGTTCTTCGCAAAACGGCAAAGAAAGCGTGTGAAGATCGACAAACAGAATACTGGGATGAACTGAGCCTCGACATCGAACAAGTAATCAAACAAAATGATGCAGCAACTGCCTACGCAATGCTCAGAAGACTTCGAGGTGGTAAGGCCAAGGTAGAAGATATGCCAATCTTCGACACTCAGGGCAAACTACTCACCAATTCACATGACCGTCTCATTCGATGGCGAGAATACTTCTGCGATCTACTCAATGTGCCTTCATCTATCGATCCTTCTGTCATTTCAACCATCATTGTGCCGACTATCTCTACTCAAGAAGAACAACGACAGAACAAATCACCTTCTCTTTCTGAGATAGAACAAGCAATTGCCCGAATGAAATGTGGAAAGGCTCCGAGTATTGATGGAATCACAGCCGGCGTCCTAAAAGCTGGGGGTCGTGTACTCGCTAGACGATTACAAAAACTATTTGTCGATATATGGGAAAGTGAAGAAGATATGGAAGACTGGTCAACTGCCATCCTCATCCGTCTTTTCAAGAACAAAGGAGACAAAAAGGATTGTGGAAACTACCGTGGAATCTCCCTTCTACTCGTTGCCAGCAAAGTCTTCTCCCGAATCATCCGCAACCGTGTACAACAGCACCTCAGCTCTCAACTACTCGAAATACGAGCCGGTTTTCAATCAAACCGATCTACCATTGACCATATATTCACTCTCAAGATGCTCCTCGAACATACACGAGATTACAACAAACCACTTTTCCTATGTTTCATCGATATTCAAAAAGCATATGATTCTGTCAACCGTGCTCTTCTTTGGACGATCTGCAAGCACTATGGACTCTCTGACAAAATCGTTCGTCTTCTACAACTACTCTACAACGACTCAAAAGCCCGAGTCCGTATCAACGGCGGACTCGCCCTTCCTTTCAATATAGAAACAGGCGTACTTCAAGGTGGCATTCCATCTCCAATTCTCTTCAATGTATTTTTCGATTTCATCATCCGTCGAGTGCTCGAATAACTTCAGATCCTCAATGTTACTGGTGTGAAACTGTCGTATGGCAAGGATTTCTTCCATTCTACAACTGACGATGATGATGATCTGCAACTCTTGGCTCTCTTGTATGCCGACGATGTCGCTCTATCTACAGACAATGCCCTCGATCTCGAGTTAGCTATCAATACTTTCGAAGAAATAACTCAACAATTTGGGATAACTATGAGCATCAAGAAAACGTGTATTATGCCCATGAGGCAATTGGAAGAAGACGTCTCTAGAAAAATCATCAAAGGACAAGAAGTGCAAATACCTCCCATCAACATCAACATCCGTCAAGAAGACATACACACAGTCGATGAATTCTGCTATCTCGGTTATCACTTTACTCGAGATTTTTCGTCCGACAGAGAAATTGATGTCCGTCTTGCCAAAGCCTCAACAGCCTTCAATATGCTTCGTCACGTCATCTGGTATAGGAAAACGGTCTCTACAACTGCACGTCTATGCATATTTCGTTCTTGTGTTCTACCTGTCCTTCTCTATAGCAGTGAAGTATGGACTTTGACAGCAAAACTTGAACAACGACTATGCACCTTCTACCACCGATGTCTTCGTACGATTATTGGTGTGAATCTCGGCGATCGAATGTCAAACGAACAACTACTTACTCTAACTGGACAACCTTCACTCGTTGATATCATGAGACGCAACCGACTCAGATGGTTTGGCCATGCAAATCGTATGAATAATCTTGATGGAACACTCTCTCTCGTCAAGAAAACCATGTTCTCATACTATTCTAACTCAAAACGACCTCTTCATTCGGGGAAGCGAAAGACATGGCAAGATATGATAACCGATGACCTAGAAAAATGTGGAATAAGGAATTGGAGAAGGGAATCCATGGATCGAGATAGTTGGAGAGCTAAAATCAATCAACATACACAAACAAGACCTCCAGCATCGAATATCTTAGATATTGTTCATCAATTCAAACAACGAGCTCAACATAGAAGAGCAGCTGCTCTCTTTCCTCCTCCGCCTAAAGTCACGGAACTGATTCCCAAGAACAACGATCGAACGTACACATGTCCCAATTGCAAAAGGAAATTTCAACCACAAGGAATTACCAAGCACGCAAAATCTTGTGCAAAGAAGTGGTGTGAACATAATGGGATTTCAATTGATTGATTGGTTGGTGTATCCTACTTGTTCAAGAAACGAATTGGCTCATACAACAGCGCTCAATGACGGTTCTCATCCAACCAAGTCCTTGTGGCTTGAAGATGACAACCTGACAACTGCTGGAAGACGGTACCAATTCGATGAACGAACTGAACATTGAGCGAATGAACTTTTACTTTTGTGTTCTAGGTTTTTGTACATTTTTTTGTCTTCACCCAAAACCTGCTTGGTATGGGTATAATAAAGATAGATAGATAGAAGAACGAAGAAAAACCTTTGACCCCTTCTGATCCTTGAGGGCGACCACAGGAATTTTCGAAAATTTTTTTTATTCATGAAACTGAATAATTATCATCCAGATAGATAGGGTTTGAGATGTGGATCACATTCATATGATGGGAGTCCATTATTGATTGTGTTTTTGGGTGTGGGTGTAGATACAAATAAGGTCAACACCCACACTCTCAATACATCTGATGTCGATTGGACAATATAAATTTTTTAAACTTGTTTATAAATTCATCATTTTCAGAAAAAAAAATATGAGTTTTATATAATATAGATGAAGAATGAAGAAGTTTTTCAAATCGATAATTAAGATCGGAAAGTGCTTTATATAATTGAAATCCATCAAAATAATCAAATATTTCATATAATAATTCATTGGATAGATCTTCAAAACAAGTCATAGATTGATCGAATTCATCTATTAAAATAAAAAATAGAAATAATTTTATATTCATCAAACAAATAATTTACTGAGAAAATTGTTTGTTTTTCTTCAAATAAATCGTCAGAAGGTGTGGGTGTGGTTTAGTTGTATAATCAACAAGTAGTTTGTCATAGCTAATTTTTCCACTATTTGATCATCTACTGTTGGAATACAAACACACAAAGAACGAAGAGGATGATCGAAATTACCGATCATTTCAATTAGAATCTCTTTTAGAAATGCTTCAACATCAATATCATTAATATTATTGATCTGTAAATAATTCAATTTTATTTGTATCGGATACCGATAAAAACATATCTACTACTTCCTCACATCAATTTCGTTCTCGTGATGATAAGAAAGCATAAAATTTTAATGTAAAAAGTTCAGATAATGCTTCTATAAGATAAATTAACAGACCAACTATCTTGAAATATATACATTGTGAAAGGATGTACTATTACCATTGGAAAAAAATTTGGCAGAAGTACAGATACAGCCACAAATTATCTAAAGCTCAAGTTTATATCAAATGGAAGCTAGTTTATTGAATAGATTAAATAAAAAACAAAATCAATTTACGGCAAATTTTCGATTTTAATCTCATTTTCCGATTCTATAGACAAGTATTTTTTTTCATTGATTTCATATTTGTATTTTATTAAAATAGTATTTTAATATGAACAAAAACTCATCGTCAATAATCTTTTCAATTGTTAAAACCAAATATTTATACACGAAAAGATACTTGTAATATTATTTTGTTCATTGTTTCATATCTATTATCATGAACAACAAACATCAGTTGGCAAGTATGAGAGAGACAAATAGAAAGCGAAAAAAAAATGAAATATACATATATGCAACATTTTTTATCATAATTATCGATGATCTCCACAAATCAAAACACAACCTCAATCCAAAATATATCCATCAATTAAACATATAGAATAATTCAACTAAATCAAAAGTGTCTAGTTCTCATCCTTGGTTTTTTTCAATTCAATAATATGGTGATCGTCCTCGCATAGAATCATAAATACTGGCATTCGAGTCGGTAATGTCAGTACTATCATGTATGCCTCCAACTGAACACCACATACTACTATTCGATGTCGAATATGCGCCTAAAAATATGAACTAAGACCATTAACATTGTCAACGTCAACATTAGTGTTCAAAAACATCTCGACCATCAACAAATGATGATATCGGTTGTGTACGAACCTATGATACGGTTAATACACTGATAGGTGCTGTTTGATTCAAACATACACCATCATCTTTGTAAAATAAGTCTGGATATGTATAGATATGAATTCAAATCAATTGAGATTCAAAATAAAAAACAAGCAACCGCAACTGTAACAAAACCAAACAAATCAATTTATACTACTTGATAATTGTGATGATAATTGTAACCTTCTAGTTAAATCAGATAATTCTTGATAACTTGAATATCTAACAGCAAGTGATGAATAAACAGAATCTAATATTAAAAAAACAAAATTCTTGTTATCAAAAAACAAAAAAATTAAATAACTAACTGAAATTTGAATATGGATCAACATCTAATAATGATGAAGAATTAAGTACTGAAGAAGCACACGCAATTAATTCTGTTAAACCACTAGTTGTATTTTGTGATAATTGTGCAAGTGTTTGTAAAGCTGTAAGATCATTATGATTGATAAAATCTTTAAAAAAATAATAAGTTAATTCAAATAAAATCATGAAAATAATTTCTACCTGATATATTTGTTGTAATTTTTTGCATTGGGGTGTGGGTTCATAACAGAGGTACGCCCACACTCACACCCTGAAATCTGAACGAACTTTCACAATATCATCACAATCTCAATACAACTATGTGTTTGAAAATGTCAATAATCCAAATATCGAGAAAATAGAGGTACATTTAACGTTTTTTCTCCTTGGCTCGATAGTGCATTAATTTTAGGTATTGAAAAATCGAATTAAATCTACTACTCATATACCTGATCTGATTAGATATTATTCAACACGTGCATTTATTTTCTACGAGATGCATAATTGGGAAGGTAAGATTTGTAAGATTTTTTTTTCATATATCAGTGTGCATGTTTCTTCTTTAGATGTACTTAAAGACATTGAGTTTGTTGAGAAACATGTAAAGATTGAGGACTCTTTGTTGGTTCTCAAATGGTATAATAATTATATCCATGTCTCTACTTTAATGTAAATAGTTTTATTTTAATTATTCAGGAAATCAACAATTCATAAGCAAATGAGTAAAATTCGGGATGCAATGAAAGATTGCGTCGACAAAAAATGGAATAAAATTTTGTTTCCTACATAATAAATCTGCAATGGAAAATGTTTGTTTTAGTTATGGATAATACAGACTTTATGGATCTGTTAAACTCAATCAAGGCTGAACATGTAGAAGAACTTATTAAAAGTAAGAATCACAATATGCAAAGTGAAATTATTTTACAGTGTTGTTTATTTTAGAACGAAAACAAACACAACGAGGCAACAACAAAAGATGTAAAAACTAACTTTATATCTTCAATCGGTTTTCAAATTCTTATCTATTTTTCTGTGGTTTTTTCTTCAATATTTTGTTTTTTTTTTATTAAAAAATACACACATTTTGACGGCTCTTGATAGACATTTAAAAGCTTTTGTATAAATAAATGTTTTATAATTTATGTCGGTAGATTGTTCGATCTTCATTGACGTTGATAGTTTAAGAATGAAGAATGAGATGACATGTTCCAATGAAAGAAAAACGTTCTATTGGTGATCGATCTTGAAAATAATAAAATGAATAATGATCGAAACGCACCTAAATGTAGCATATCAAAAGCCCTTGCGTAGAATTTGAATTGTGTAAAGTTTATGAAATAAAGAAAATATTGGTTCAACAAAAGAACCATTTATTCATTTAAATTATTGCAGCATCTGGTTAATAGGACTATTCACACATAGCACTAGCTGCTCTCAACCAGAACTCATTAATGTTGCTAAGGAAAACCAAGGTAGTTCATGAAATCTAATGATTAAAAATAATTCGAAACAAATTGCTAATGAAGACATTGTTCATCGAAAGATCGAATAAAGCATCATTCAATGGTACATTAGAACAAATAAATGATAGATATATTAAATTTGTAGATTAATATACCATAGTAGAGTGTGGGTGTAGGTGTGAGTATCAGTTTTCTCCACACCCACACCCACCCCACACCCACACCCACACCCACACCCACACCCACACCCACACATCCACATCCACCCCACACCCACCCCACACCCACACTCACGCCCACACCCACACCCATACCCACACCCACATCCACCCCACACCCACACCCACACATCCACATCCACACCCACCCCACCCACACCCACACGCACCCAGAAAAACTAGTTTCTTTAATTAAAAATTACTATCAACGAGGAGAAAATATTGAATATGCTCGTAAAGCGTTCAATACGAAGTATGGCAAAGACTCAGCACCTCATCGTGACACAGTCGAACGGTAAATAAAACGTTCAAATTGTTTTCTTTAATTTAAAATTGTTTTAACAATAGTTTCATTGAAAAATTTGAGACAACAGCAAACACGAATGATGCTCGGCCTCAATCAACTGGTCGACCACGAGTTGTGACTTGTGATGAAAACATTTTAAAAGTCGAACAGTATTTTCAACAAAATCCAACCACATCAATTTGTCGGGCAGCTCAAGCTTTAAACATAAAATGTGAAAGTTTGCGCATAATCAAACGCTATTTTGCTAATTTGTTTCCGTATAAGATTCAAATCAATCAACCTTTACAACCTGAAGCATTAGAAAAACAGAAATTGTTTTGTCAAATTTTGTCATCTGCTATTGAAGCAAAAGATTTAAATGTGAACAAAATTTGGTTTAGTGACGAGGCTCATTTTTGGTTAAATACGTAAAAAAGCCTGTTTTTCTGGCTCTAATCCTGCCATGATTAAAATCGATACAAGTAAGTAAGTTTAATTAGTGCGAAAACAATGGCGACTATTCTTGTTTACAACAATGAAAAATAGAGGCCGCTGCCTATCGTAGTTGCTGTGATGCAAATGTTTTCATTTGTTGTATACCTTCCTGATCACCTTGTACCATCGTCATGAATGTAGTAAAAATAATTATCTTTACACAGTTAATAAAAAACGATTAAAAATCAGCTTATTTTGTATTTCTATTGTTTTCTTCTAACAACCATCTAGATTCATGTCTATATGATTTTTGTTCCTTGATAAAATAAAATATTTCTTATTAATAAGTATGTCTCCGCTTGAGCGACGGAAAATGTGTAATAATATCAGGTAGAAAATTTTATTTTAAACACATTACTAATGCTCTTTCAAACTGATCAATATAAAAGCCAATTGAACTTTAACGTTCATTGATCAAAAAGTGATGGTTGTGCCTGTTTCACATGGAAATAACGGCTGATCGAAATTCATATTTCTCTTGTCATACTCGTGCTTTGTTTCTGGTTTTGCATGTTGTTATATTTTCTAAAATTTTCTTCTATATGTTACAGTTAATTGACGTTAGAAAGAGAAAGATTTTCATGTTTATTAATAATGTTAAAATGAATATTAGAAAGCAAAAAAGCAACGAATAAAAAGCATTTTTTACAGTATAGTTAATTGGTGTTTGATTGATCATGGATAAATGGTAACTTTGGTTGAAATGAGTGAACCAGTTCCTTTCCATTGAATCCAAAAAGTAATGTTGAGCACATCTCCAGGTGTTGTATAAAATGTTTGTGATAGATTTTTTCCTGCAGAAGCACCTTCACTATGACACCGCTGACCTGTATGTGCATTACTTCCTACAACAATATTTGCATTAGACCATCCATGCCAATATAAGGTGCTGTTATTCTCAAAATCTCCATTATTAAGAAGCTCTGTTCCATATGTATTCTTGACTGAAACATCGTCAAGATATGTCCACGATGGACCATTTTGCATGAAAAATAATAATGTCGTTTGATAAGCCCTTGCTATATAGACCGAAGAGATTTTGTAATAGCTGGGTAAACTTGTATAGGGATTAACCATTGAATAAAGAATTGTTACATTCGATTGACTGTTTGCTAAAATTAATTTTTTACATTAAACTAAATTTTTGAAGAAGTTCTGATGTACATACTCGTTTGGCTAGTTGTTTGTGTTATTGAAGTCGATGATTCTAAACAATAGAGTCATTGTAAAAGTACAAAAGAAATTTAACATTGCTTGATTACTTATGATACTACGATCGAGCAATGAATTATCACGTAAATCACCTGCATGATCAAATAAAATAAAGATAAAAAAAAGAATAAAATAGACTTACGAAGAACAATTGTCGGTAATTGACCGAACATTGGTTTAATCATTATTGCTCCTACTCCAAAAACCAACAATAAAACCAAAACCATTAAAAATCGACAACAGTAAGATTTTGAATGATTACTAAATTAATTTAATTAATTGATAAGATATTATTTTATAAAAATACTTACGGATGTTCTTTACCGATGAAAATAATGCCATCTTTGATTGTTAATTGATTCACCTCTTTTGGAATAGTTACTACCTATAAAAACTTGTGAACTCAGATAAATTTGTTAAAGCTTTTGTCTTTACTTGTCCGGTAGTCGATTGTAAAAAAACTTCGGAAAATTTCTCGGCCATTTTTTTAAAATCCGATGATTGTATATCGACTAAAATAAATTACTTCGTTTCAATAAATGACTGAAAAAAGTATGACTACAGACAAGACAACTGTTGAGTTTTATACTGAATAAATATTTTAAATAAAAAAGAGAGAAAATAACAATTGATGCTTATAGGTTTATTGACTAAAAGGAAACAGACACAACATAATTTCATTGGCTTGGCATAAATATTTATTGCATGAATACTCATTTTTCTTTACAACACGATAGCAAACAAGTCAAATATACAGACATTACCATAGCATTCGTATACTAATACAATAGTTCAATATAGATAAAACAAGACATTTATTATTTTTTTTATTTGACCATTCACAAAAGTAGACATTGTAAGAGCACGTCATTTAGTTTTTTTTTGCTATAAGAGTAATACTAGGAAGAGAAGGACTGAGAAATTCTAGAAATTCTATTTGATAAAAATGTATGTTAATGTAAAATATTTTTCTTTCGTCGACAAACCTGTCATCATATATGCGCAATATCATCATACATGCGCAATATCATTCATACATGTGCTCTTGACAAATTCTTCGGCACTGAAAAAAGAATATATAAAAAACTCAATTTCACTTGACTGTTTTACTTTGTGGTAGTTCACAAGTTTAAACTAAAACATTTAAAAGAAAATATGTCTGTTCTTTGATTTTGAATATTAAGATTCGATTTAGTCATTCACACAACACAACAGATTACATTTTTATTTCAAATAAAAGTTTTTTTTTCAAAAACAAACTCATCTATTTAGTTAATGACCGGTCTATCAGGTTTAAGATTTTATGAGTCATATGATGAGTATCTTAAATAAAAACAAAACCGATCATGGTATTGCATCTATTTTAAAGATATCCATGATTTTGACATCATAAAAACAATCTTGATGTCTCTTTTACTTTTATTATTACTGTTTACCTTCTATCAGAGGAGAAGAGATGTATTTTTTTTAAAATGCAACACAAAAAAACAGCCAACATGGCATTGATTTGTGTTATGAAGAAGAGAGAAGACGAAAGAGAGATTTAAACATACTCTTGACTTTTCTTATTATTCAAGAACAACATTCGTTTTGTCTTGTATACAATTGTCGTGATTCAATAGAAGAAAAGCAAGTGAGTAGAATGTTGAAGAAAAATTGAAGCTGGAAACCGTGATACAACGAAAGAGGAAATTGAGAATTCTAGGTACCGGAACCAAACATGTGGATACATTAGTATATAAGTATACGAATACATGTGAATTCGAGATTCTGAGGCTATATATATGGATACCTGAGAATATTAATACAACAATACATCAATACATGAGTAAATAAGCGTACATTTTGTATTTGCACAGCTTTGGTCTGGTGGCTAAATAAGCAGATTTGGCAATTCTGAAGACAGATGCCTACAGTCAAATGTTTATTCAAAAAATATGATGAGAAGTCAACAACAAAAGAGAATGAAGACAGTAAAATACAGTAAAGATACACGCCAAAGAAAGAAAGGACAGAGCACACACAGGGAATAGTCGACATTGGATCGACCAACTGAACCAAACAAAAATAGAAAACTCATTTTGACTATAAATAAGCGTGTATCGTCAAAGACTGCGGTAAATGAGCGATGGTGATTATAAGAGAAAACATACATCGTATAAAAATACGCACGAGGAGAGTCAAAAATGATCAAGGTAGAGAGAGAGAGAGAAAAGACTCGCATGCACATTTAGACAGAAGTAATATTGATGTTAAGATGACATCGGCTGCAACAATATTCGATTTTGACTATATAAGAATGGAAACAAAAAACCATCGAGGGAGACTCGTTTGATGTGCACTATAATTTGTAAACGAATATTTTTTGTCACTAATCACGCTTAGATATTTTGACGAAAACGGACTTTGTCGGTCGGCTTAGTCCTGCCAACTGCTTCTTATTGATTGTTGCTTCGAAATTGGCTGATTGTGGCATTAATTCCATTTTGCACATTTTTGATAATCGAATAAGTAAAATTTTGATTTGCATTTTTGCATATCTTTCTCCAGTACAAGGATGTTTACCGCGTCCAAAAGACAATGCTCTATATGGATCAGCCTTCATCTCTTTTCGTGGTTTCAAATGTCTTTCGGGATCAAACTTGTTTGGATTAAGATACAAATCATGTACGCCAGTCAAAGGAGTTGCAACAAGATTTCCGGATGGAATAAATTTGTCATACGAAAGAGAAATATTTTCACCAGCATGTCGCAGACTCAATAGAAAATCAGTATGCATTCTAATTACTTCATAAACACATGCTTGAACATATTCCATCGAATTCAAATATTCAATTGTTATTTCACCTTTCACCGGTGCACAATCGATTTCGTCTTTGATTCGTTGACCAATTTCATCGTGTTCATGACGAATCCATTCGAGAATGATATATGAAGCTGTTGTGTATGTATTCAGCTGTGCTGGAACAATAGACATATAAGCAAGATAAGCCACTAGTCGAGGTGTAAGGGTGTGGGTGTGGGTGTGGGTGTGGGTGTGGGTGGGTGTGGGGTGTGGGTGTAGAATAAATGAAAAACATTACCCACACCCACCCACACCCACCCCCACACCCACACCTACACCGTACACCCACACCCACACCCCACACCCACACACCCACCCACACCCACACCCACACCCACACCCTCGCTGTATGGCTCTTTAGACATGCAACAAATTCAAGACCTTGAGATTTCGTGCACAAAATTTTGAGTTTGGTCTTAAACTACCCAAATCTTATGAAAATCTGTTAGATAAAGTATCAGAAGAGAACAAAAAGTCCTAAATCCAAACGATAGCTGCAATCTTTTCACTAGAATCTGAACGAAATATAAATCCAGAAACTAAATTTAATCCAAATCTCAACGATTTGGTTACAAATCTATATTGGATTTGTTGTAGTCCTATGGCTCATGAAAATGACTTTTCAAAGCAAATACAACTACACGACGCTCATAATTAAAATTTGAAAAAAAAGCGTGTTTTTGCGATCATTTTATCATCGAATGACGATTGTACGTATGTCAGATATGTTCTAGGATAATGACTAATAGAATTCTTTTGAGTCTCACTCGGGATAGAAATGTGTTTGTGATGTTTTTGTTGCGTTGAAAAAAATTATATTGTTTACGAAGATTGGTAATGTTTGATTGTCAACATCATTTGAGGATCAACTTTTGTCTAAATCATGTCAACAGAACAAGTGTTCTCATTACTTATATCAACATTGTGGAATGTGAAGCAGAAGAAGCTAGAATAGAAAGATCCATGTATGGATTGTTTTTTTCTTGTTGACTAAAGTCAATAAACTTGGCTGTGGGGGAGGGGGGGAGGGGCTATCGCGAACAGGAAGGGTCACCCCCAATCTTGAACAATTTTCGTTTTTTCTCACCAAAGTTCCAGCATTTTATTCGTTTTTTTTTGCTCACCGATTCTCAAAAAAATCGATCGACCCCAATCTTCAGGACCTGACGGCATTCCTAGCTGTGGGTGTGCGTTTGTTTGAATGAGATGGTGATTACTGGTTTTATAGCACTAGCAAAAAACATTTTTCTCTTTATCAAAGTAGAAACTCGAAAATGGCAAGATATTTGTTTGTTATTTTGTAGATTCATCTTCGCATAGTATAGGCGAGGTACAAGAATTGTTTGTTCAAGATCTTTCGGTAAGTCGTAATAACCTATTTTTTTTCTTGTATGCATTTGCAATTCTTTTTTTTTTGTTGCTAAAAAATTTAATTCTAAAGTAAAATAGGATCAAGAAGATGTGCATCAACATACTGAAAAATTGAAAAATGAACTAGCTAAAACAAAAAATGAGCCGAAAAAAAAGCCAAAAAATGGTTCAAATACAACAAAGACCGTTGACGGTACAAAATTCATATCATCATACGGTATAAAAAGAGTTAAATAAATCGTTCGATTTCTAATAAATATTAAATGAATTTCCTTGTTTTTTTTAGTGTCTAATTTGTGAACAAGAATTTTTAAGTAATGCTTATCTGCAAGCACATATACATCGTCGTCATCCAGACTATGAGTGAAATAAATGATGTAAACATGACATTGATATTCTAAAAGAAACTCAACGTCTTAAAAATGAATTAAACAAAAAGAGGGGTATAGGCGTGGGTATGTGTTGATGAAGTTAAAACGTTCGCACACACACACCCACATTCCCAAAGTTTTTGAACGACAATAATAATAATGTTTTCTGTTTTTCATGTTGTATGATTTCCAACATACGACCCAACTCGGCACTGGCAACACTCACATATGATTTTATATATCTGCAGCGTTCAGACTATTGAGATCAATTTGAGGAGAAAGATCTTATCTTGAAATTGCTCATCTTTGAGTGGTGGGTTTGGATTTGGGTGTGGATGATGTGGGTGTGGATTTGGGTGTGGATGATGTGGGGTGTGGATGTGCGTGTGTGGTGGGTGTGGGTATAGGCGTCAGTGTTTTTCTCAATATTATCCACACACGCATACCAATACCTATACCCACCCACTCATACTCATCCACCCACACCCACCCACATCCACCCACACTCACACCCACACCAACACTCCACACCCTGAATATTAAATCCAGTCATAGAAGAGGCCTGCAAATAACGAAGGGTATATTATGTTTTAATAAACAAAACTTAAGATAACATCAAGTAGTGTAGTGAAGAAAAGAAAGGGTGTGGGTGGTATGTGCAGTGTTGCTGTGGCTGTGGGTGCTGTTGAAGAGAAGATCTACACCCACACCCACGCCACACTCATTCATATCAACGCCCTCTAGAGAGTTTTACTCCTTATATCACTACTGCAAACAAAAATATTAAAGAGCAAGAAAACATCAAAACTGAAAAAAAATCAAAAGTTCTTCTACGTTTGCGACTAAAATACTATAGAATTCATTTTGTTTTTTCACTTGATAAATTTTTTGACTCCTCTCTTTTTTGATCAAAGTCGAATTATATACAGAGTCTGAACGAAAAATAAGACGAATTGTCCACGAAGCTGTGCTTTTGCATCTATAAATAGTTTTTTTTTTAAATTTCAGTGAATTTTCACTTTCTTATATAAGGAAAAAGGGTTTTTTTGTTGGACTGCTTACGTGTGAATGCAGAAAAGACCTGATTGGTGAGAGATTCTGAAAGGGTCGACAGTTATTTATTTAATGATTAAAGACAAGAATTAATCATATGCGAGACATGTTTCTTATCTAATTCTCCTCGGTTTTCTCTCTTGCATTTCTTCTCTTATTTCATTCTTCTTTTACAATATCATAGGGTATGGATGTCGGTGTTCTCTAAAGTGCAATGGATTTATACCCACATCATACTACTACAGTTATTCAAGTTGCTCTTGGATAGACTTCAGTGATTATTGTATTCCGATGTGTTACATAATTTCGATTTGATTAGAAATACGTTCATGCTTTCGTTGTACTTGTTTAAAGTCGATCTTGGATTGATCCGTCATATAAGAAAAGAACTATTCTTGACATACATGAAGAAACTATTTTGCGTGAGACAGACGAAAAAAGAGACTTATGACGGATTCTTCCTTTTTCTTCTCTTGATGACACATAAAGCACACAACACGTGATATTTTACAATAGTCGAATCTATTTCAAAATGTAACTTCGTTGATACTTGTTTTTTTTATGAAATACATAGATTAATAGAGTCATTTACACCATTCTAATTTATTGCGAATCTTTTAATCAGAACCTAGTAAAGTATCATTGGTATTGTAGAGGCTAGCTTTGTGATAATTGATAGAAAAGTTCTTTCAGACATTTGGTTCCCGACAAGAATTTCTGAAGCTTTTTAATATTTTATTGGATTGAAACTTACTGACAGTGTTAGATTTAAGTTTATCAACTATGAATATCGACATGATAATTATTAGAAACCATCCCATAGACGAAGAAAAATTCGTCTCTCTTTATGAATATAGTGTCAACATCTGAATTAGAACTCCGCTGGACGAGATAGAGCAGGATAACAAGACTCCAAGATGGAATTGGATGGCTAGGAGCCGTCTCATAGAGTCAGAAGACTGAAGAATCTTTCACCAAGTATCCCTAACTTCAAATGTAGGTGTGAGTTAAGGAACGACTAACATCCATGTCCATCTACTTAAATCTATTTTTTGAATAACCTTCAATTTAATTAAGAGTAAAAAATTACCTAGAAAGTTCCTGCTTAGTTAAATCTTTGACCAGGTGAAAGCATCAATTTTTGGGGAAAGTTACACTTTTTATGGGATCAGAATGATAGAATGCTGACCTTGCAGATCTATATTTATGCGTCTGTTTTCCACTAGCAATCGGTCATAGACCACTTTATATGTTCCTTTCGTTATCTAAGGTTTACCGTTAGCTATCTTTCTATCGTACCCATTGGAGCTCCATTTTAGATATTCGACAGATTCGAGTTTATTTTCTCTAATCTAAGGTGTAGTCTAATCAACAGTAACTTAAACTCATGCACTCATCGAATACACAAATGGATCATCATGAGAATAAGCAGAATATAAATGCTGATGGAGAACGAATACACGATGACAAGCTGCAGAAACCAAATATTTACAATAAATACTTACCGTTCTATGAATCTATCAAACAACAAGGTTTTGAATCTTTCGATGAAATTCGAGAAAATTTATCTCGTACCATTCAACTTGGCGAATTGTATCCAGGTTTCTTGGTGTGGTCAATTGCATTAGAACGATTCATTGAACTTTATGGTTTCTATTTCACCAAAATTGATCATCTCAAGCTGATTAATTTCTATATGGCTGTTCTTTCCATTAAGGATCTTAATTATTCTAATGCAAAAATATGTTTTGACATGCTCTGTCAACTCTTTCAGTTTGTATCCCTCTTGTTTTCTATGAATTTGACATAATAGATTGTATATAATGATGTATTGTAGAAAACGTCGTTTGATCACACGAGATGATCTCATAATTGATTGGCATATACTTTATAATTGGGCAAAACTCATTCTATATAATCATGAAAAACAGTATTCACTGGTCACTTTGCCAAAGTTAGTTTCTTTCACACTTATGAACTGATGGAATTTGCTATTATTATTGTTTTCTTAAGATCCATCGTTAATTCATTGCTCTATTGCATAATGTATTGCTCTTTATACTTTTCGGCAAATGCCACTCAAGAAATTCTCGATCAATTTCGTCCACACTTATGTCCAATCGATTCAACCTTTTCTGATACTGTTCTAATTCTTAATTTTTTTCTGCCTATCAATCTTCCTCCAGATTTACATAATCAAGGATTCAAGTGTGTTTTCTTACTCGGTTTTTTTATCGATTCATTCATCATATTTTTATTTAAGATTATGGTTAACAGAATTTTTCGGTATTTGGGACAGTCTTTACAACAATATGAACAGTGCAACATGGGAAATGGCAAGTTTTCTTTTAAATTGATTATGTTTATTTTATCTAATAAAGTTTTACCTAGTATCTGATCAATCTCTTCTCAAATCTTGCCTGGTACAATATTGGTTATATCGATTGGGAGCCTTGGCTAGCACAGGTTACACAATTCACACTATATATTTTTCTGCTGTTAAAATGTTTGTCATCTAGATCTTTACACGTATACTCAATCGTTTTTCACTTCCGGTAGGAAAAAATCCTGCATCTCGAGATGATTGTCTATATATGATGTCGGACGTGGCACAATGGCTTGTTGCCATGATAGGAAACGGAGGTTCATGTCTTCAATACTTGCGTGATTTATTTACTGCCACCAAAACCTTTTATCATCCATCGAATACCGGAGAGTTTCAACAGTATCTGATCGAATTTATTTTGAAACTAGTTGAACCATTTGTTGAACGAGTTCGATTGTGAGTATATGAACAATATTGCATAGTGTATATATTGTAAAGCAGCAACAACAAATATGAATGCTTCGAAATGTTTCAAAGAATATTATGATGACGTAGCCCTCCGTGTGGTATATATTTGAAAACATTCTAAGGTCATATACATGATCTATAATATTCTCTTTTTCCTTTGGTTTATTTAAGAAAAGTATTTTATTCTTTTTTACATACTAGCATAGCTGGATATATACTGTACAAAAGACCAAAAGTAAAGAGAATCCATAGTCTCTGGATAGAAATGACTAAATGAACGTACTACTAATCGAAAAATTTGAAAACATTTAGTATAAAAATTTTTACTATTCTCAATTGATATTCATGATTACTAGCCTTTTTCATCTTTTCCTTTATCTCTACTCCATGAAATTGAATTGTTATTCCACATTTTTAGTTTACAGTCTGCATTATCTGAATCTCAATAGAATTTGACTAATATTAGAGAAAACTTCAAAGTGAATAAATTTTGAGTTAGTGAATTGACAAAAAATGAAGGGTGAAACAAGTTTTACCTTATGTACTATACAAGTTCGAGAGTATTTCTATATTTTTTGCATAAGAGAATTGTATTTTAAATCAACGGTGGCAGAAATTAGATATTCTGTAATCGGCTATTTTATTCCTTCAGCAAACTTCAATCAGACTTACATATCACGTACTTACATTATATTTTACAAGTGTATAGTCAGTGTATACAGAATAATCAGTTAGCAATAAGCGTAGAATTACTCCAATATGTTCAGTAATACCATAAGTACTTATCGATAGTAAATTGATAAGGGATGCTATTATTTTATTTTCAAGTTTTTCACTATGAAATTAAAATTGTTTTATGAATAATTTTCGTTTTTGGATAAAAAATTTAAATATTGTAATCAATAAAGTCAGTTTGGCTAAAACACTCGAAGATCTTCTTTGGAATTTTTAAACGAGTTTTCTGCGATTTCATATGACTTCCGAAGATTCCATATATAATAGAATTTTCATATATGTGAGTCTGCTATTTTATTACTTGGTATATCATCTATCTATATATTGTAGAGAACGAAAAATTCGTCCTCATTGGACCTTTGTACCACATGAATCACATCGACTAACTGAACAGGACATCACGGATTTTGTCAATTGTATCAAAGATTATGCGTTCATGTCGATTTTTAATGAAGACTACATTGAAGATGCAGCTAAAGCCTGCCAATATCTTTCTATATTGCGATCAGAATTAATTGTACCACCGATTATGAAAAAGTTCGATGTTTTTGCTCGTTTTCTATTTCATTGTATATTTATTCGTTCGTAGACTCTTTTTGTCAATTGACAATATAACTGAACCAGGTCGCTTTACATTGATCATGAAATGTTTACCTGGTATTATTTGTCAAATAGTACGACAAACATCGAATTATTCTGAAGGTCAAACTTATGTATTAACATTGATGATGTCTATATTGCCCTGCATCGATTCGAATGATTTTGAAAAGAAAGCAGTCACGTTAGAAGTTCTTGATGCCATTCTCAAGCTTGTTCCATGTATTGACTGTTCATCCGCAATACATACGCGTAATGATCTTACAGAAGTAAGACCAAGATTTCGAAAAAAAAGATGGTTATAGATTTACACATTTTGTTTTTTCCTAGATTGAAAAACGAGTTTGTTTATCAACAACACAATTTGAAGACTTCATAACTGATTTTCTCAATCGAATATTTCAAATGATTTCCATACGATCGGCAGAAATGTTCGATGATGCTGTGGCTAACGACGTATTCAACGAAGACGATAAATTCATCCAAGTGAAACTAAAATCGATCATGTCCAACATTGCTCAACAATGCAGCAGTAAAATCTTTCAAGTATATAGAAATTTAAATCAATATATGTGTTCAGGAAGTTAGAAATCAAGGGAAAAATTTTGCAAATTCAATTGTTCTTTCTAAAATAATCAATTTTCTATCATCATTTAACATTTCCGTTCGAGATAGTGAGAAATTTGCAAATCTTTTTTTCAACAATAACTGATATACAATCTGATTAATGAAAATGATTGATTTATGGTATTTGAATACTGCTAATAATATAGATTTAAAAGTGTTTGTCTAGTACTTCCAAAGAAATACTAATTATTTTCTATTGTGGAAAAATGAAATTTTGACGAACAATTTTGGAGAGCATTCGTGTAGTAGATTATTATCAGAAATGTTTAATTTGAAATACTAATATATTTATACATCATTTGATGATATTTATTCCTTTCAATCCAACGTGCATTATTGAAACAAATTTTCATAGCTCTATCTTCAAAATATATCATTATTTACTTGTTGCAAGTATTTCTGATAGGAGTTAATGAGATATTACATAAAAAGTCGTATGCTTTTTCAAAAAAAATGAATAAATCAGTCCAAAGACATACGTTTTCACATGAACTAAATGAATATATTTCGTGTATAGAAGAAAAACGTTTCGCCTATGATAAATAAGACATAATTATCTGTTACAAATTCATATTGTGTTGAAAATTTATTAGTTAGTGATTAATTTTCTTAAAAAGATTAATCAAATTTCTTAAAATGAATTGATTTCATTTAGTTCTTTCCTTCTTGCTGAACGAGATATACACTAAATACATACTTTCTATATTTTTGGAATATTTAGATAATTCATCAGAAGATTATAAAATTTCTTACTGGCTCTTTATTTTCACCTAAAGTAAGAAAATTTGTTGCTGGCCTTGTTCGAGTGATTATCAAAGTTAATCCAATCGAAATACTCAAATATCTCTTACCACAAACATGTGAACATATCGAAAATATAATGAATAATTCACAAACAGCCATATTGATGGATCATAAAGGTGATATTGAATTAACTTGGCATTTAGTTCTCTTTTCGGAACTTGTTCGTGCTCGTGGTGACACTTTACTCATCTATAAGCAAATGATCATGTCTGTCTTTCATCAATGTATTCGTATTGTACACAAAGATTCATACGAAGCTATTGCTAAGGCAGCTAAACATTTGTTAAAATCACTTTCTGATTTATATTCCATTGATGATCAATTATCACTTGAAAATATGGACGAGTCATTCGTCGATTATTTACCTATTCGAGTAAGTGTTTTATACGATCGCTTCTACTAGGTTTTCTGGTCATTAAGGCATGGGGTCAACATGTTGATTTCGATCAATTACAAGTTCAATATCATTTTCCCACTATGGATGAAATTGACTTTGCTTGTGAATTTGTCAATACATTCATTTATGCTGAATTACAATTATTAAATGAAAAATGTTTAAATCTATCGAAAGAAGAACGATTGAGATCGCTCACACTAATTCATTATATAGCTGTTGGATGTTTACGTATGGTATCGCGGATCGAAAGCAATCAAGTAACAGATCTGTGAGTATATAGTAAGAATGAAAAGAAAATATGTTTGTATTATTGTTGTTATGATAGAGTACCAACAGTTGTTCCTTATGGTTCAAAATATCGGTTTCGATATTCTATCTATTCCAAAGAGCCGAGTAAGGAGAACTGCTATTAAAAACTTCATTCACATATAATAGAAATGAGATTGAAAGCGATCTATCTCTGTTTAAGAGAAATAATATTAGTCATAATATATGTCATTCTTCAGAATTTAGAGACAATTTACGAATGCGTCTTCTGATTGATATTGGAAATTTACTCGGTAAATCTTTAATAGATGAATGATTGTAAAAGAAATTCTGTTTTCCTATTAGATATACTTGTCGAAAATCACTGCGATGATGTTGCATCAATAAACACAGCGATCAATGTATGCATAGATTATGTTGAAATCCATGTGATTAACAGTTACTTTTATGTTCAATTATAGATTTATGCATTGTTACCTATCTATTATGGTATATCTCAGTATGATGTTAATAAATTATGCCAATATATTGGCTTGAATGAAGCATTATTCAAGTATAAGCTTGGTGATAAACGACAAAATCTTCGTTTTTTGACAATCAAACAAATCACAATACAGATCAAAGTAATTGATTCTAGTAGAAATTCAAATGCAAATTAAAAATTACTAACTATTTCTTTAGAAATTCGAATTATATCATTTTGAAACATTTACAGAAATCGACAAACAAATTGTATTGAAATTATTTAAACTATCGATTAATCGTTATAGTGACGTAAGTTGATCTTTTTTTATGATAATAATTTATTTTCATTTTCTCATCGTAGATACGTAGCAACGCACAAATCAATTTCTTTACTATTGTTAATGATTATTTTTTCTCATATCAAGTGATTGTTGATCACATCTATGCAATGTTAAATAGATCAGACAAAGTTGATCATGATCAAATCAAAGTTTGTCATCTTTTTTCATCTATTGAATATGTAAATTACACCTCTGTAGGGTTGCCTGTATATCCTTCTCGGTGATAATTACTTTTTCTTGCCTACTCAGCCATCATGGACAATGATGGAAAAATTATGGCCATCTATTATTGTATGTATAAATCATACAAACAAACTCAGCATAAAAACTTTAATCGATGAAATTAGTACTAGAATAAGCGAAGAATTTCATATGCACGCTCTCATTGAAGATATTAATGAAATGTCTATGCGCGCGGCAACCAATCTATGGGATCAGTTAAAACCGAACGAAATGGAAACGTGTAAAGAACGCAATCAAAACAATATTCAATCTTACAATAATCTCATGGAAACGCTCAATTTGCTACTAAATGACGATAAATTGTCAGTTGTCTTATTGAACTCAATACATTTTAGTTTGTATATTTAGAACGTGGGGACAACACCAGATATCAATGTCATTAATGTGTCTTCTTCTTCAAAAGCGAGTACCAATTCCGTTATCATGCATTCGAACATTAGTCGATTTTATTGTCCATGATAATATTGAATTGCGCAAGGTTGATTAAATAATTATTATTGAGAACTATGTAATTTTTCCTATTCTACTTGTTTAGTATGCCGTAATTGGTATGACAGCATTGTGTCGTTTACAAAAACCACCTCGAGTCTATGTAGAAAAATCGCTGGACGAAATTCTTCGTCATGTATGTCAACAGTCCTCAATTACCATCGATGTTGAAAAATATTATCCAGGCGATCGTGACGATAACTTGTGGGTGACAATCAACAATTATAAAACTCCCGACACACAAATCGAATGGGAACAAACATGCTTTTTGGATAAGTCTTTTCATGGTTACTATACATGGCCAAAATTTATTAAATATTGTATGAATAAGCGTGTACGCTACACTTTTGATGCAATGCCGGAACAAGTTGCCATTTTGTATTACCGTTTTATTGACAAGAACTTTATTATACGATTGACACAATCCGTGATCTTTGATGAGGACGAAGACAATATAGCCTTTAGTACAACTCGATTCCAAATGTACAAGGTACATATATATTAAACATGTGTCACAGAGCACTATTGTACAAATGAAAGATTGAGAAGTAGACTTTTCTGGACTCAAGACATATATCATTTTACAATGATGAGAAATACTACATATCTTGGATAGAATGTAGTATTAGCCAGCAACATTAATACTATAACTGATCGCGTTCATCTCTACAAACAGTAGAAATTTCCATAACTATTGTCGGTTTCAAAGTATAAGGCACCTGGCTGTTTTTTGAATAATTTTCGATAGGAACAAGATAGAGACCTGCGGTTTTCACCATTCGATAGAGAATAGAGTTGAGCATCCAGGCTACTCGAATTTCATTGATCCAATAAATGACCAATCAGGTTAGTTTCTTGATAGAAGTCTTGTAAACGAGATTCTAAAGAAATTTTCCATTAGCTTTTGCGCTGTAATATCACCATCCGATAGA